ATATTACAAAGGACACATATGAAGAGGGGCGCAGGGAGAGGTATGGAGCTTCCAGGATCTTTCCAGCTACACCCTTCTTTAGGAGCCTCCACATATTCAGCTATCCTTAAGTTTTCAGTTTTTGCTTTTATTTTGAATTGGAGTCTCACTCTGTCACCCAGGCTGGAGTGCAGTGGCATGATCATGGCTCACCATAGCCTCAGCCTCCTGGGCTCAGGAGAACCTTCTGCCTTAGCCTCCCGAGCAGCTGGGACTATAGGCATGCACCACCAAACCGGTTAATTTTTAAATTTTTTTTTATAGAGACAAAAGTCTTGCTCTGTTGCCTAGGCAGGTCTTGAACTCCTGGGCTCAAGCAATTCTCCCACCTCGACCCCCAAAAGTGCAGGGAGTATAGGTGTGAGCCATCACACCCAGCTTGGAAGCTCTCTGACCCCTGTATTTTTGAGTTTTTATGAAGCTTTATTAAATAGGCATGATTGATTAGCCATGGGTGATCAACTCAACCTTCAGCCCCCTCCTGTCTCTAATCCTGCCTTCGTCTTTCTGGTGAGGGGTCTTGAAGTTGCCTAGGGCTGCCAGCCATCAGTCAACTTACTAGCAATCAAAAAGACACTTATCACTTTGAAGGATCTAAGGATTTTAGGAGCTTTATGCCTAGAGATGGGATAAAGACTAGGTATTGTATGTATTTTATAGTATTACAGGTCTGTTAGACGTTAAGAAATTTTAAATTAAAATCACAATGAGATCTCACTACATACCTCTCAGAATGGCTAAAATGGAAATGACTGACCACACCAAGCAGTTGATATGGTCCTTGCTGTCTGATGACCTGGGCTGGACCTGGAGCTCTCGTATACTTCTGCTGGGAATGTACAGTGGTACAATCACTACGTCCGGTTCTTGAAAAATCAGACCTACAACAACAATATGATACAGCTAATATTTCTGGGTATTTACCTATGAGAAATGAGAGCATATGTCTATAGAGAGACTTATTTATTCATATATGTTCATAGTAGCTTTATTGTGTTAAATACAAAATTACAAAAAGCCATTGTTTTGGACTAAGCTTTTGCATAGGTGCCAACAGATCAGAGTAAAGTCAAAATGGAGTTTTCCGGCTAAAGTTCCACATCACCAAACTCAAATTAAGTTGTTATCTGACCCACTAAGAAATCAGGAGGGAGATATCAGCCAATTTCTCAAACAGGCCAGTTTCAATCCTCAGTAGGCATAATGAGGAAGTTCCTTCTGCCTTAATCTTTGCACAGGAGATATAGCCTGAAGTAACTTGATGTCAAAGTAATCAGTTATTTTTCTATTGTTTTGTTTCCCTTTCCCCTTGTCCCCACAGTACACAAAAAGTCACTTGAAAATGACTATTAGGCTCTTTGCTTCTGCTATCTTTAGCCTGTCTCTGTCTATAAGGCCAATCCCCTTTGCTCAGTTCATTGGAACACTTACACTATTTTACGGAATGGAGTATTATTCTAGAATCATAAAGAAAGTCAACTGATGGAAGGCTGAGGTGAAAGGATCGCCGTAGCCCAGCAGATCGAGGCTGCGGTGGCCGGGAGCGGGCCACTGCACTCTAGTCTGGGCAACAGAGTGAGACTCCAACTCAAAAAACAAAACAAACAAAACAAAAAACAACAACAACAACAAAAATAGGCTGGGCTCAGCGGCTCAGCCTGTAATCCCGCGCTTTGGGAGGCCGATGTGAGTGAATTGCCTGAGTCTGCAGGTTCGAGACCCGCCTGGGCAAATTGGTGAGACCTCATCTCTACAATAAGTAAAAAAAAAAATTAGCCGGGCATGGTAGTGCGCGCCTGTAGTTCCAGTTACTTGGAAGGCTAAGGTGGAAGGATCGCCTGAGCCCAGCAGGTCGAGGCTGAGGTGGCTGGGAGCGTGCCACTGTACTCGAGTCTGGGTGACAGAGTGAGACTCCAACTCAAAAAACCCCCAAACAAGCAAACGAACAAAAAACCAAAAAGAAAGCCAATTGAGATCATAAAATGAAATTCTGTCTTTTGACAATTGTAATCTCTCAAAACGTATTAGCTCACGTGAACATCAATGTGTGAAGGGGTTGACAAACAGTAGTGCAGCCATGCAATGGAGAATCACCCAGCAATACAAAGAAATGAACCACTGGTACACACCTGAGAGTTTCAAAATAATTATGCAGAATGAAAGAAGCCAGTCAATAAATAGTACATGCTGTGTGATTCCATTTATATAAAACTCTGAAACATGCAAACTAATCTGTAGTGACAAAAAGCAGATCATCAGTGGGAGGCAAATGGGATTGATTATGGAAGCGCTTGAGGGGGTTCTGGACACGTTCACTATCTTGATTGTAACGGTGGTTTCAGGGGTTACATGTGTGTCAAAACTAAGTTTGTATGCTTTAAATATGTGCAATTATTTAATGTTAATTATACTTTAATAAAGCTGTTAAATATTGACCTGAACATTAACTATATTATTGAATCACTGATAATTAGCAAAATAGAACAAAACTATGAAAAATGTTTGCTCTCTTAAATTTCAATTTAGTCAATTTTGACTTGTTAGAGATTTAAAAAGCAGACTTCTAATAATTCTGACTTAAATCCCTAAAGTCAGACAAAAATCTGACCAAGTAGGCCATTTGCTTTTACCACAATCTCTCTTCTCACTTAACTGATTGAAGGCTTCCTAATTTCAACTCTGTAGTGTTCCAAAGTGATGAAAATTAAAAGTCCCTCAGCAAGGATGATTATGGGATGATTCATGGTGTTTTCCATGCACTTTTGTTACAAAACCAAACCTGGTTCTGCTCACCTAGTGCAGTAAAGCTAAACATCCACACCAAGGTTTTGCAGCAAGAGAAAGGAGAACATTTATTTGCAAGTCACCAAGCAAGGCGAATCAGCCAGCTAATGCTTAAGACCCTACCTCTCTGATGGTTTATAAGCAAGGGTTTTATTTATTTTTATTTTTTAAGTTTTTGAGTTGGGGTCTCACTCTGTCACCGAGGCTGGAGTGCAGTGGCATGCTCACGGCCACCGCAGCCTTGACCTTCTGGACACAGGCAGTCCTCCTGCCTCAGCCGTCCAAGTAGCTGGAACTACAGGCATGTGCCACCATGCCTGGCTAATTTTTTGATTTATTGTAGAGATGAGGTCTCACTAAGTTACCCAGGCTAGTCTCAAACCTGTGGGCTGAGGCAATCCTCTCACCTTGGCTTCCCAAGACAAGCAAGGGTTTTAAAGGCAGGGGTATATTTTAGGAAAAAAGTTACAGGCAAATCATAAACCAATACATAGAGGTTATACATTAGTTTTGGCCCCAAAAGAATACCTTGAAACAGGAGCTTACAGGTTATGGGTGGATTCTGAGATTTTTAGATTTGTAATTAGTGAAGAAAACAAAGCTGTGTCTAAAAACTTGGGATCAGCAGAAAGAAAGAAGGACCTCTCTGAAAGAAATTTACAACAAAGAATGGTTGTCAGAATTCTGTCCTCAGTTCCCCCTTGGGAGGCAATTTCCATCTTGTGGGGGTTTGGGTTTCTGAAAAACAACTCAGGAACATATGTTAAGATGCTTTATCTTTAGTTTCTATAAGGAACCAAACATCTTGTGACGCTGACTTGCTTGAGTGGATATTGTTTAAGCTATCATTACCTTCTTGCTTATCAGGTTGCTCAGTTACTTTTCAAGGCTAGCTAGATGCCTGGAATTTCCCTTGAAGGGACTCAAGATTTTCCCTTACTTCCATGTTTGAACGTGGTGCAGCAGGCCGCTAGGTGGGATCCCTGCTCAGTCTCACACGCTCACAATCTTTTTTTGAGTGGGGGATCTCACTCTGTCGCCCAGGTTGTAGTGCAGTGGCATAATCATGACCTTCTGGGCTCAGGCAATCCTTCCACCTCAGCCTCCTGAGTAGGTGGGCCTAGACGCCCAAGCCACCATGCCTGGCTAATTTTTTGATTTTTTATAGAGACCATGTTGCCCAGGTCTCAAATCCCTCAAGTGATACTTTTGCATCTGCCTCCCCAAGTGCTGGGATTACAGGTGTGGGCTGCTGGGCCCAGCCTGCTTTTGCGTTAAACAATGATCAGTTTAAGAGATTAAAAAACGAAGCAAAAGATGTTCATTTACATAGTCACCATTTCAGATCTCTTCAGTTCTTTGGGTGGATATACATATCCTGCCCCCTTCCTGCCCACCCTCTTCCTGCCAATTTAGTTGAAGCAATTTTTCTTTTTAAATGGCATTTGAACTGGGTGTGGTGGCTCATACCTGTAATCCCAGCGCTATGGGAGACTGAGGTGGGAGGAGTGGTTGTGCGCGCGCGGAGTGTACTCCCCTTGTGCACTTCAGAGGCTGAGGCAAGAGGATCCTTTGAGCCCAGGAGATCGCAGCTGCGGTGAACTAAGATAGCGCCACTGCACTCCATTCTGGGCGAGAGAGCGAGACTCAGTTTTAAAAAAAGAAGAAAAAAAGACTTCCAAAGTCGTTGCCAATCTTAATAAGCCTAGCGACGTCCCGGGAGGAGGAGGCTGCTGGGAGGAGTAGGGGGTAGGTGTTCGTTCTCAGAGTGCTTAAGGAATGAACTGAAAGTGAATGTTTTTGCAGGGCTACGTGTCATGGCCTGGGAAGATGCTGCGGCTAGCTTAGTCAGTTCATGCTACTTGTCAATAATAATCCGGGTGGGGAGAAGGAACAAAGTGAGGACGAATTCTGCTGGGCGCCTACGGACTCCTAGAGGTCCCCGTTGGACTCTGCTATTAGGGTGGGGTTTCCTCCGCACGTCCAGAGAGACACCGGAATGCCGGGCGAGGCCAGGGGGACCCGCCAGGATCGAGAGGCCAGATGCAGACCTACAAGGCGCGAGGATCCGCAGCCAGCCCCGCCCATTCAGCGCTCGCCCCGCCCCGGTCCCGCCCC